TTCATTTATTGAAATTGAATTAATTTGCTTCGAATTAATTAATTAGAAGAAATTCTTTAACTCGAAAAGAAATCTTGAAATTAACAATCCTCCATCGGGAAAGCTAACTCGATTATTTCTTATCCATAAAGAATATTTCCCTCTTTGATAAAACGCGAATCGAATATAAATGGAATATCAACAATAAAATAAATTTCTATTTATAGAAATATGCATTGCATTGTTAGACTTAAAATGAAATGAATTAATAATTAGCAAATTACAATTTATTTCAAGTTCGTATTTGGTTCAAATGTCATATTGGATTACATCACTTCGATCAAGTGGTGCTTTCCACGCCCATTCTACAAATTGTTGTTCTTGAAAATATTAGAGTAAATAAAAAAAAGGTTAAAAAATGAATGAAACAAATATTTTGTATAATCGTTCGAAATCAATTCCCAAGAGCAAAGAACATATACATACATAAATGATACGAATAAATATATAATATCCATACATTATAAAAATGTAAGGAAATAAAATCAAATTAAGCAAATATTAAATTATAAAAGTAAAATAAACAAATAATAAAGGACAATCATTAAACGAATAAAATTAAAGTACTGAAAAATAAAGAGATGGAAATAAACGATTAGAACATTAGAGCACACAAAATGTAAATACTGAAATTAAATAAAGAAAATAAAAATTTAAAAGTGCACAAAGTTAAATAGCAGAAATAAAATGCAATAAAAATAAAATACTAATATCGAATTTTATTATGTATCTCGTACCATAAATGATGCGAGTCATATCCCGGGACGAACAATCGCAAGGTCGTACATGGTTCGAATATGAAATAAAACAAACAAATAAATAAAAGGTTAACAATTAATAATTAGCGATTATAAAAGTTAATTGTTAGAAATAAATAACATAGCAGAATAATGACCAAATTAAAATAAAGCAAACTCAACATGCATATTCGAAATAAATAAGAAATGTATGACCAGAGTACAAAACAAGGAAGAAATGGAGGGGCCTACACACAGTTTACCCTAAAAAAACAAAACAGAAACTCATCTCCTTCTTTCTTCTCTGCACGCATAACCGATCAAAATCGCCGACAACTAAGACCGGTGATCTTCACATACCTCAACCAACACCAATACAAACCGGGAAACCTGAACCGACTCAAAAAGAACCAAAAATCCCCTTTTCTTTAACCTGAAAACCTCGAACGAAAATCAAATGTTCTATGTGAGCACTGTTCGTCCCTCCGACCACCATCCATGGTGGTCGGAATGCTAAACCAAAGCCACTGACGACACTGAACCACAACCAAGACCAACATTCTCACCACATTTACGTAAGGAGGCTAAAAAAATAAAAAAAATAAAAAGAAGCAAAAAAAAAGGAGAGAACCATAACCTCTTTCTTATTTCTGTATTCAGACTTACAAAAAATGTGGGCTTACATTCTGCTTTTTGTTTGACTTTTAAAGTCCCATAAATTACAAAAAGGCAATATTACAAGTTTGGTCCATGCCTTTTGTTCCTTCTTTTATTTTAGAACAAAATTAGGGTATTACAGCTGCCCCTCTTTGCTCGTATGTTGTGTAAACAATGACGAAGCAAAGACAAATTATGGCCTAATTTTGTCTATCTACGATGTTTGCTTCGCTCCAATTCTTTTTCTGAAAACAGATGACTTAAAGATGACATTGTTCCTTCATGTTGAGGACGTCGGGTCAATCTGGAGATAATTTGGTGTTGAAGATGACGTTGCTCATCCATGTTGAAGAGTTCTGGTCACTTTCAGGTAAATTGTTTGTTGAAGATGACTCTGTTCCTTCTCGTTGAGGAAATCGGGTCAATCTGGGTCAGTTGGGTCCTGATAGGCTGCTGGAGCTGAAGCAAAAACCTGATGGGTTTTCTACGTGGGTTGTGCATTGGGCTATTGTTTGGGCTTCTTGTAATGGGCATCATTTTCGGGCCTACAAAATGTAAATGTTGTATTAATAATAATAAAATAATATTTTGTCCTGGAAATTTAATATGTTTGTTGGTGGGGATGACACGACTCATACGCAATGAAAAGGTCTGGTCGTTTAAAGGTGACACGACTCCTACGTGATGAAGAGATCTGGTCGGTGGATGACACGACTCATACGTGATGAAGAGTTCTGGCCATCTTTAGGAATGATGATAACTCGGTTCCTACGTGATGAGGACAGTTGGTTATCTATGGGTGACACGGCTCCTACATGATGAGGAGGTCTGGTCGAGGGATGATACTGCTCATACGCGATAAAGAGTTCTGGCCATCTTTATAAAGGGTGATAACTCGGTTCCTACGTGATGAGGACGACTAATTATCTAAGGTTGATGCGGCTTCTACATGATGAGGAGATCTGGTCAGGGGATGACACGGTTCCTACGTGATGATGATGGCTGACCATCTTTAGGGATAATGGTTTCAAGGGAAATCGACTCAAAGATAAGTGTTTTTTGTTTCAATGGAAACAGACACAAAGATAGGATTTTGATAGAAAATGTCTCAAGGGAGACAAAATGTGTTTCAAGGGAAACGATCTCAAAGGTGGGTGTTTCAAGAGAAACTAACTCAAAGATAGGTGTTTCAAAAGAAACAACTCAAAGATTTTTGTTTCAAAAGAAACGACTTGAATATTTTTTCACGAAAAATTGTCTCAAGCGAGAGAAAATTTTGTTTCAAAATAAACAGACTCAAAGGTTTTTTTCAAAAGAAACAACTCAAAGATTTTTATTTCAAAAGAAACAACTCACAGACTTTTGTTTCAAGAGAAACAGACTCAAAGATAGGTTTTGTTTCAAGTGAAACAATCTCAAAGATGTTTGTTTTAAGAGAAATTGTCTCAAAAGAGACAAAACTTTGTTTTCATAAAAATAGACTCAAAGATTTTTCTTTAAACGGAACTGTCTCATAAGAGACAAAATTTTGTTTCCAAAGAAACAGACTCAAAGATTCTTTGTTTCAAAAGAATCTTTCTCAAAAGAGACAAAATTTTGCTATCAAAGAAACATACTCAAAGATTTTTCATTTTGTTTTAAGTGAAACATACTCAAAGATTTTTCAAGAAAATCTGTCTCAAGAAAGACAAAGTTTTGTTTTTTGAGAAAACGATCTCAAGTGAGATCAACTTTGTTTAATGTGAAACAAATTCAAAATTTGTATTCTCAAAGGAAAAATGTCTCAAACGAGACGAAATTTATTTTGAAAGAAATAACAATCTCAAGTGAGATTAATTTTTGTTTCAAGTGAATCAAATTCGAAATTTGTATATCAAAGGAAAAAATGTCTCAAGCAAGATAAAGTTTGTTTTAAGAGAAAGCGATCTCTAATGAGATCAACTTTGTTTAATGTGAAACAAATTTGAAATTTGTATATCAAAGGAAAAAATGTCTCAAGCAAGACGAAGTTTGTTTTAAGAGAAAGCGATCTCAAATGAGATCAACTTTGTTTAATGTGAAACAAATTCGAAATTTGTATCTCAAAGGAAAAATGTCTCAAATGAGACGAAATTTGTTTTGAAAGAAATTGTCTCAAGCGAAACAAAATTTATTTTTAGAAAACTGTCTCAAGCGAGACAAAAATTTGTTTTGAGAGAAATTGTCTCAAGCGAGACAAAAATTTGTTTTAAAATTCTCAAAAATTGTGGAAAAATGTCTCAAGTGAGAGAATTTTGTTTCAATAAAAACACCCTCAAAGGTGATAGAAAGTCTGTTTGTTCCTGGATGTTGAGGAAATGTCTTGGTTGTTGACTTCAATAAGTCAAATCATTGATTCTTCAAGTTAGAGATATCTGATCATTTCCGAGCTTTGATTTCCTGAGATATCAAAATGATACAATTTTGACTAACAATCTTGGTTGTTATGATAGATGTCAAGATGAAATTTATTTGATTTTGCCCTCAAGTGAGGAGAAAAATGTCCTTAATACACATGATGATAAATGTTTGATGCAAATTTTATATATCATGTATGTATGTGTATGTATGTATGTTTTTCTCAATCCATAAGGAGAATGGTTGCAAGAGCAGTCTTCACTCTATCATTGATTCAGTTTGTCTGCATTTCCACTAAGGTGTACTCTTACAAACCTCGACCTGATACAATTTGTTTTCTTTCCCCATAAAATTTTTGCCCCAAAAATTTGGCTTCTCTTGCCCCAGCTTTGATCTTGAGCTTCGGAGAAATCTTCGTTGAATTCCAAGATATGCCTCCAATATTCGATGTTGAATCTCCAAAGATGCCCCAACATTCAATGTTTCTTACTTCAACCCTGATTCTAAGCATGAGCTTTGTGTCTGAGAGCCACATTTCAACTATCAAGATCCACTCCAGAGAGATTGTCTTGTTTGAAAAACGTTTTTCTTTTATTTTCAAAAGTATGAAAATATCAATTAAAAGAGTTTTGAAAAAATATTTGATAAAATATTACCCCTTTCGAGGTTTCACATTTGACAAATCATAAAACAAGAGTTCACTGGATATCAAAGAATTAATTACACTGTTAATCCTTCAATAAATTATAGCTATTTGATAAGTGTCAATATCAATGCCATCTTTGAGGTATGGTTAAATAAGGAAATGATAAAAATATCTCATGTTATTATTTTTGGTCAAATGTATGGGGTTATCATTTATTTATTGTTCACTGATATGATGAAGTAGCTTATGTACTCATTTATTGGAATTATTCTCCGACTCCCAGCTCTCATGATCTTATTCAGGTTGTGCGATGCCTTATCAAGGGACTTGTGCAATCGCCTCAACTACACCATTTTTATACTCGAGCCGCCTTTTCAGGTTTTCAACTCGAATCCTCATTTGGTTTTAAAATGTTATTCATAATTTACGTCTTGAACCCCCCTTCGTTATTTTTCTCTATCATGCATTAAAGATTTTAGAAAACCTTTTGCAAATAAAGATTAATCGTGATGTGCGGGATGAAATATGAAGATAGTCTCTTATGTTTAGAAAATCCATATATGATTAGAATGGACTTTTAAGGAACGTAATGTAGGCCATGGTTCACGGTTATGAAAGAAATGGATATATAGGCTCAAATAAGTGTTAAAGGGTAGTTAAACCAAGGATCAATTCGTTCTGATGCCTTCAATTTTGTCTTGCTCAATTTAAATCTGCTCGTATGTGTCTTTCTCTTGATGTTATGTGATCTTCGAGTGAAGTGATTTTAAAATAATTGTGCTTGATCAATCTCATAGTTTGAAGGTCGATGCGTCATTTGAGTCGAGAGACTCTTTGTCTGTGCTCTTTGTCCTCTTTTTGTTCTTTGTTTTTCTTTGCTTCTTTTCTCTTTGTTTTTGCTCTTTTTTTTTTTTTGCTCTTTGTTTTTTCTTTGCTTCTTTTCTCTTTGTTTTTCTGTTCTCTTCACTTTGATATGATCTTTGCACTCTGTATTTGGTTCACCTTTTGGTATCTCATCTGAATCAATGTCTTTACTCATGCGAGCAGATTTCGTCCAACTTGCACCCCAGTGTGGAGGGTGATCCTTGGTTAGGGTTAAATCATAAGAAATCATGATTTAGGCTCAAAGGGGACACAAGGGATATATATTTTCTCCTGTTGTGAAGGGATAAAGAAAGAAAGTCATTCATCATCTCATACATATAAGTCTTTGCAGAAGAGGTATCCCCCATGGGGATAGATTTTTAGGATTAATTTTTATTCACATGAAAACAACGTAATTAATGCTTGACAGAATTATTTTGAATTAATTCTCCTTTTTCTCTACTTCTTCTAGCATGTCTCTATTGCTCAGGTTCATCCTCAGAAAATCGATTTGAGATGCCCCACATTATTTCTTCTTGTAGGAAATTTCATGTTCAAGTGAATAGTGTACTCAATGCCTTTAGGTCTTATTGGTAGAAAAAGTTAGTTATATGTCTAAGAAGACGATGGTGTGACTTTGTTGGCTCAAAGAAATGTATGGGTATGAATTTTTGTGTATCGAAAGGATAGATGCAATGTTTCAAGATCGAAAAGAATGTTTCAAGGTCTCAAAGAGAGGGAATGTCAAAAATTGGCTCCTTGGTAGTGACCATGAATTATTTTGGGTAAAAATTAAGAGATTTTATTTTTGGGGTTCTAGACAGGATAAGAAAGGTCTAATCTTGTCATATGTTAAAAATCTATAATTCTTGAAGAATTAAGAGAATACGTAATTCATTTGATATTCAAAGAACTAAAGATTAAAATTTGTTCAATTATTCCACCCTAGAAGGTAGCATAAATTCAATCATTAAGATTAAAAATATTTAAGCACATATTTAAGACATAACAAAAACGAGTCAAACAAAATAATCTCTCTGGATGCAAATGGTATACAATGCCCCCATCCTTCTTCGATTATCCATGCCTCCTGAATCCATCGGGTTCTAGATCTTGCAATTCTGTGCTTTATAGTTTTCAGCGGAATGTCTGGAGCTTCCTATGTGATATCAACATCATTGACTTCAAGGAACGGAGACTCTTTTCTTAGACCATCCTGGAAGGCCCAGTCCTACAACCAGCTGAACATGCTTCCACTATACTGATTTATTCGAATCTTGCTTCTATGTGGTGTCACATGGTTATGACCACTTCATCAAATCCTCCACTGATTAATTCCATGTTTTTATAAATGATGCATGTGAAAATGCTTAAAAATAAAATACAGATGCAAAATGCAAAGATGCAAATACAGATGCAAATACAGATGCAAAAATGTTGATCCCAACGATGAATATCGTAGAATAATTTTTACCAAAGATAAAAACTTTCACATTACAAGACAGTTGTAACATCCCAAAAGTCAGGTCAGTGACTAAAATGTAAAAATTTGGAAACTTTGTGCTCAATTCTGAAATAAGCTAAAAGTTCAGGGACTTAAGTAAAGGATTTTGGATTAAATAGTAAAGATGGATTAACTAAAGGGGTAAAATGGTCTTTTCATAGGAAAGATTTTTATCTTCCCTTTTTGAGTAATATAAACGTGGGAAATATGAGAAACATCCAGAGTTCTCTTCTCATTTCTTCTTCTTCATACCTGGGAGATCAAGGCAAATGTGAGAGTTTTATTAGTTGATTATTATTTGAATTTTAAGTTTGGGTTTGATCTTTAGTTGATGGATAAACTTAAGGAAAGCTTGGGTTACGATAAAATCAAAGAATGGAGGGGTTAAGAGAGATTAAAGATTTGGAGTTTTTATATGAAATTTTGGAAAAGAATTGATAAGTGGAATTGAAGTTAAATTTGACTTGTCCATAGTTGAATTAAGAGATTTGGAGTGATAGAAAGGAATTTAGAACATGTTGAAATTTGAGTATGATTATTGAATTTCATAAGAGGAGAGGTTTTTGAGAATTAAGATGGGATAAATGAGTACAAATGGGCTTAAGTATGTGTGTTTGAGTTTAGTATATAAAAGAGGTTGAAAGAGGAAGTGTTTAAGTTGAAATGAAGTATTTTTCGTGTTGAAAATGTAATTTCTGGGCTAGGGGAATTGGTACCCATTCAAGGGGAACCGATACCCCTTCAAACGAACAAAAATTTCCAGAATGACATGGGGGAACCGATACCCCCACAAGAGGGAACCGATTCCCCCTAAAGGAAAATTGTAAATATTGGTTTAATAAGTTCGTTTAAGTTTCTAGTATCAAATTACAAGGTGTAGGAATCTAATAATTGCCTTAAAATGTATAATTATGTAGATTCAGAGCCTAAATGAGTTCCAGAATCATTGACAAGTAAGATCGATAAAAGGGAAGATAAGAGATTGGAATTGACTAGTGAGGCCAGGTGAGAGTATATTAGTAGTATATGATGTTAAATGGAAATAAGACTTATGACAAGACTATTTTCCATAGTAAAATGCATGAATTCATAATAGAAGTATATGTGTATGATTGAGATGTGTTGACATATTATTGTATATATGTATTATATGGTTGATGTGAATATGTGCTATGATATGATGATAAACCATATGAAATGATAATAAATTATATGAATATAAAAGATAAGTTATGCGATAAGATCTTTGATATATATATATATATATAAATGAAATATTACTACGTGAATACATGATATGAGATAATTTAAGTAATAATATGAGAATATGGTAAAAGTGAGTTTATGAGAAATGATATGAACTAAGTAAGCAAAGGTTACATATATAATATATTAACTAGGAGACTTGAACTTCAGTGATACTATGAGCATATAAGATAAGATAGAGAAGAAAGATTCATATGCTTAAATAAAATTATGATACATTAGTTGTATAATAGAAGCTATGGAGTGATATGAAATGATTATATGAGTTGTATGAAATTGAATTAAGTAAATAGATTAAATTGTATATAAAGAAATAATAGAAGTAATATATTCATGTTTATAAGTATAATGTAGGTTAGGTAATGTAAGTGCATACCAAGAAATACAGAATAAGGTAGATGATATGATGTAAATTATATTATGAATTAGTGATGTAGGAATACGATATAAATATGCAATAAAACTTATGTGTTATATGATAAATATGAACATATGAGAATAAGAGATTAGATAAGTGACTTGGTCATAGAAGCTATATAACCATGGATTAGGTAAATATGAATAATTTAAGTGATATGTAACTATGAGTATTTGAGTATGTATCTATGTGATGTGATTCATGAGGTTATATGAAATATTATACTATGTGACTATGTGAGTATATGAAAAATAATATAGGTACATGCAAGTTATATAGAAATGAGTTGTATAACCATGACTGATATGTATTACATGTATAGGAATATAAGAGAATAAAACATAAACTATATGAAAATATATGATTCATGTGATGTGACTCATGTGAACATATGAGAAAGTGTATAAGTTATATGTATTACATGATATATGTGATTTTACAAGGAATGACATAAGCTATGTGATTACATGATTATAAGAGATCAGACATGTGATAAAAGATAATTAATATGTATGTGTGAATATGAAATGATAAATGACAATGCCCATATTGTGTGTCATGAGAGCTAGGGGTATAGTTGGCATGCCAAGAGTCGAGGGTCTACGCGGTCCTTCGGGACATATATGTATTCTTTAGAACATGTGTGACGTCTTTTGAGACATACTTGATCCTTGGCATATGTATATGATTCTTAAGGAATTTTCCACGTGGTCCTTAGGGACAATCTTATATGGCACTTCGGTGCAATTCTACGCGGCACTACGGTGCAATTCTACGTGGCACTTTGGTGCATTTATATGAGCTGTGGTGATAGCATTAGTGCACAACCTCCATAGACTCATATATCTATAGTTCTCACATATGTACATGGGTTAATCAAGAGATATAAACAAATATATGTTAGTGATATGATAAAGGTTATAGAAATGATATGATGTTGTGTGTGTAGAGTGTTTGATTGAAAAGGTTAAGCATAAAAGTATGTGATTACATGATAAACTGCTAATGATGATTTATGTGTATGTATGTATTTATTGTTAATTAATCTGATATGATTTTACATGATATAAGGAAATCATGTAATTTGGTATAGCATGATAGAACAGAACATGCATGTATTGTTATATGTTATAAAGTGCATTATAAGTTTTTATGCCTCACTAAGTCATAGACTTAGCGTGTGATTGTTTCACACGTAGGTTACAGAAGCGAGAAGTGAAGCGTAGAAGTGTAAGACAGGTCAGCATCTTCCTTACAAAATTTCAAATCAGAAAATAGATGATTTAAATGGTTTTGGTTATTTTGAATATAGTTGCATATACTAATTGATTGAGTTAAATATGCTCTGATCGATTTTGGTTTTTGTGGTCAATTTATGTAAATAAACCACTTTTACTTTAATGAAAGTTTTAAATATTCTTGAATTTTGTCAAGAGTCAAAGTTTGAAAAGTCAATGTGACACCTTAGACTCGGATCCGGGTCGGGTACGGGTTGGGGGTGTTACAACAGTCTACTTTACAGACATGTCTTCACTTAGATGGTTGAATCTGAAATGGATCGCTGCTTCGTCTTGGATCTTCGTCCTCGAAAATGATACCCCTCAAGCGTTCTCTAATCTAACTCTGTTACTGTCACAACGGTGGTGAAGTCAATGCGTCGCTCCTTGATGGTTACTAATGGAATGTTTGTAGATGAGAATCTACTGTTAGATTACTACTTGGATCAGTGGATCATCATCAGTCTCGAATGATGCATGATCTTCGAGCTCACTGCTTCATCTCTGATCTCTGTATTTGGAACTAATACCCATCAATGCTCTGTAAACTAAATCCGTTAATGCCTCGACGGTGCTGAAGTCAGTGCGTCACTCATTGCTGACTAGTGATGACATGATTATAGATAAGACTCTACCGCTGGATTACTCCTCGGATCAATGAATCCTCCTTTCAGTCTCGAATGTTGCATAATCTTCGAGCAATTCTCGTTCTTGCACTCTGGACTTCTTTTAGCCTTCGTAATGTTTGTGTTCGTGACTGCTTGATTGAAAACTTTCATATTTTCTTGTCAAACTTTTCTCTCGAATATCCCCTTGATGATCAACATTTTCACATTATATTATGACGATACAATGCAATGCAAAGAATGATGAAAAACGACACAAACAAAATAAATAAGTTAGTGTACACAAGCAAAAGAAAAGAAATTAGTTAGTACTGGTAAGATAATTGATACAAATAAAAATCTTATTCAAAGAAGAATATAACACCTACCCGGTTATGATATCTACCCGAACATGCTTTCAATAGATAGCAATCCTACCCGGACATGCTTTCTACCCACAATGATCTATTTTTAAAAAATTGGTCCTAACCGCATGATATCGAGTTCGCATGCTTTTATTCAAAAAGAAAACAAATTCTACGAACTTAAAGTAAAAGATAAGGGTTTAGAAACGCTTCTTCTTTGTGTACACCTATTTTTGGTACCTACGGACGGACAGAGGTTCGATATGACTATACCTAGGGTGACCGTTCTACAGGTCACTATATGCATGGTTTTGGCTCTAACAGGAACAGGGTACTCGAATTGTCCTTGATGTCGGTGCCCCCTTGGGCTGCCAGACCCTGGATCCTCACCCATTACAGGTTTCGAACGGAACGAGTTCAATTCGAGGGAATTCATTGCCTTATACCCATACGAGGAATAAATTCCTACGAAGGTATAAGGTATGTATCCCGTGGGTTATTTGCTAAAACTCATGTGAAGAATAAATTCTTACGAGAGTAAAGCATTCACCCTGACTAATTTGGATCGAAGCTCGTGTCTAGAGCTTATGTCATGAAAATGCATGTGATGTGTGTGAGGAGGAGCGTACCTACCTTTGACTCAAAACGAAAAAGAGATAAAACTTGACAAAAACTTGGATCGATCTGAAAGTAAAATTCAAACGTTAGTATGACAGTTAAAAATGAAGCAATTAAAAACTTCAATAAACGAATCATAAGTTAACTAAAGACTCGAACTCATAATTTCCACCACAACGACAATATGTAAGCAACCTACAGCTTCACACTCTAAAAAGTTGTCCCCAGCGGAGTCGCCAAGCTGTCATAACTATTTTTTGTAAAAACAATTAAATATTATTTTAAAAACAGTTATGACTTTTATTTTGAAAAATTGGGGATTTTGGATTAATTTGGATTAAATTGAAAGGAGTCGCCATTGACCTTTGGGTTAGGTAAGTCGAATACCCAAAAGACGTCTTTTAAAATAATTTTAAGAAAAAAATCATTTTTAAGACGAAAACCGGTATGCGTTTACCAAAGATTCGTTTTAAAAGGATCCGGGAGTCGGTTACGTGTAGGGAAGGTTAAGCACCCCCACAACGCCCAAAAACTGGTACTATGTCGCTTACACGTTGTCGTAATGGTGAAACTCATGAATCGAATATAAAGTTAAAATATAATTCATTTATTAAAATTGAATTAATTTGCTTCGAATTAATTAATTAGAAGAAATTCTTTAACTCGAAAAGAAATCTCGAACTTAACAATCCTCCATCGGGAAAGCTAACTCGATTTTTCTTATCCATAAAGAATATTTCCCTCTTTGATAAAACGCGAATCGAATATAAATGGAATATCAACAATAAAATAAATTTCTATTTATAGAAATATGCATTGCATTGTTAGACTTAAAATTAAATGAATTAATAATTAGCAAATTACAATTTATTTCAAGTTCGTATTTGGTTCGAAAGTCATATTGGATTACATCACTTCGATCAAGTGGTGCTTTCCACGCCCATTCTACAAATTGTTGTTCTTAAAAATATTAGAGTAAATAAAAAAAAGGTTAAAAAATGAATGAAACAAATATTTTGTATAATCGTTCGAAATCAATTCCCAATAACAAAGAACATATACATACATAAATGATACGAATAAATATATAATATCCATACATTATAAAAATGTAAGGAAATAAAATCAAATTAAGCAAATATTAAATTATAAAAGTAAAATAAACAAATAATAAAGAACAATCATTAAACGAATAAAATTAAAATACTGAAAAATAAAGAGACGGAAATAAACGATTAGAACATTAGAGCACACAAAATGTAAATACTGAAATTAAATAAAGAAAATAAAAATTAAAAGTGCACAAAGTTAAATAGCAGAAATAAAATGCAATAAAAAATATTAATATCGTACTTTATTATGTATCTCGCACCATAAATGATGTGAGTCATATCCCTGGATGCAAGGTCGTACATGGTTCGAATATGAAATAAAACAAACATATAAATAAAAGGTTAACAATTAATAATTAGTGATTATAAAAGTTAATTGTTAGAAAAATTAAAGGTTAACAGAGTTCGAACCATAATAATGTAGATCATACTCCGGATCAGGTCACCACAAAGCCGAATCAAATATTATAAATAATAAATAAATAAATGTTATAATGCAATAAAATAAAAATTAATAGTTAACAGAGTCCGAACCATAATAATGCGGATTATACCCCGGATCGGGTCACCACAAGACCGAATCGAATAATAGAAATAATAAATAAATAAATAAAGGTTAGAGTGCAATAAAATAAAAGTTAGTGATTAATATACAATAAAATAAAATTTAGTAGTTAGAAATAAATAACATAGCAGAACAGTGACCAAATTAAAATAAAGCAAATTCAACATGCATATTCGAAATAAATAAGAAATGTGTGACGAGAGTACAAAATAAGGAAGAAATGGAGGGCCTACACGCAGTTTACCCAAAAAAACAAAACAGAAACTCCTCTCCTTCTTTCTTCTCTGCATGGACAACCGGTCAAAAACGCCGGCAACTAAGACCGGTGGTCTTCACATACCTCAACCAACACCGATACAAACCGGGAAACCTGAACCGACTCAAAAAGAACCAAAAATTCCCTTTTCTTAACCCGAAAACCTCGGACGAAAATCAAATGTTCTATGTGAGCACCGTTCGTCCCTCCGACCACCATCCATGGTGGTCGGAATGCTAAACCAAAGCCACCGACGACACTGAACCACAACCAAGACCAACCTTCTCACCACATTTACGTAAGGAGGCTAAAAAAATAAAAATAAATAAAAAGATGCAAAAACGAAGGAGAGAACCAAACCTCTTTTTTATTTCTGTGTTCAGACTTACAAAAAATGTGGGCTTACATTCTACTTTTTGTTTGACTTTTAAAGTCCCATAAATTACAAAAAGGCAATATTACAAGTTTGGTCCGTGCCTTTTGTGCCTTTTGTTCCTTCTTTTATTTTAGGATAAAATTAGGGTATTACAAAACCCTTCGAACAACGTTATTGAGGATGGACCGGACCTTGTCTCTGACTTTCTCGCAGGGCTTTTCGATTTCGGAAGACGAAATAAGGGAACTCTTCGCTAAGATACACGGGGTCTATGTTGATAGTGTACATAGCAGGATAAGGTCCCCGGTTGTGAACAGCCTTTGTTTTCTAGAATGGTTATACATGGCATCACGAATGTCGGTACGTCAAATCTGGAACGGAAGATGTGTGGCTAAGTTCCGGATCGTCGACAGAGAAAGTAGGTTCATGTTGGAATGTTGATGATAGTAATATATAGCTGTTACCTTCTTTGGTAGGAAAGTTACAGCTTTTAGGACTTAAAAAGCATCCTTGTAGGCATTGTTGCATAAATGTTTGCCAACTACTGTATTGTTTTATGTGAATCAAAACTAGACGTTTATCAATGTTGAGTTAAAATATGCACCGTAGGGAGCCAAAGGCACAAAAAAAGTACAGTGACAGTACGGTAGCCTTTCTTGGTTGAAAAAAGAAAACGATATGTGAATAAAAATGCATTTGCATTTTTCAAACCAAAATATGTAACCATTGGACTACTAACGGGTTGCAAGATATGTAAAACCAAAATTTACTCTTGCATTTTTCAAAGAATTAATAAGATCTTAATCAAATAGTTTTGGCAAAGAATCTCATAAATTTAATTAATGCTGCGACGTTGAATTGATGCCTCATACTTCTAAAAACCAACCAAATACCACTTCATCATGCATGTTATTAAATTATGAATATGTAACTTTAAGTTTTTTTTAATTTCGAGTTATTCTAAATTAATTTAAATTTTGAGTTTAAGTCTAATTTGAATGTGTAGCTACAACACATGTAATTGCTTGGTCTTAATATAGTCCTCCCTGTGCCAAAAATGAAAGAAAAAAACTGCCCCGTCGAATATCCACCAGTTCTTGCGTTACATGAAATGCAATCCATTTTCTTTTGGACATTTCATCAAACATTTCATGATCAAGCTCAGTTCCTCCTTTGCAACTACAACACATGTGAATCATGTGCTTACAACATGATTAGTCACATTGAGACCAAATTTTAACAACGACCTATCTCCGGGGAGGCCTAAATTCAAGTTGCCGATGGCAGCAAAGGCCTTTGGAAGCAACCGGGCACATGCAACTGTTGGCACGAAACTGAAAACCCATAAATCTTTCGCCTTTAAGTTTCAAGTGGGAGCATGAGCTTTGAAAAGCAGAGAATTGCTTGTAGAGACGATTGAAGGGAATTCAGTGTTAGCTTAATCCAACAGTAAAGCAGCATTCCACGTCAGTGTTTTTTTCGGTCCCACGTGGATGGTAGAGCGATCGCCACGCCATTTTTTCAGCTCTTCCCTTTCTGTCCAACTATAGAAAACAGAACTTTATTTCTCTTCTTCTTCTCAATTCGCGAGGCTAGAACAACGATCGGAATTTAAGGGGAAAGAAGGGAAAATGAGAATTTTTTCGATATCTTCGCTTCTGAATCAAGGGTTTGTTCAAAGAAGAGTTGTTAATAAGTATCTCGTCAATGCAATTCGTCCATATTCAGAGGATCTTTCTTCCCCGAAATCTCTAGGCTTGTTCTTATGCTCGAGTTTTTCGTCTTACATTCGTTTATTTTATCTTCTTCATGCTATCTTCGTCAATGCAACTTAGTATTCTTGTTAACTTGGATACAAATTTAGGATTTTTGAAGTCTGAATTTGAATACAATTGTTGTAGTTTGTTTGTTTCTAGAGAAAATAAAAATAAAAAACAGGTTAACCATTTTTATCTGACTCTTTAGTTTTCTTGAAATATGTGTATTCGACACTTATGTCTTAAGCATATACATGAAAAATATTTAACCATATCTCTAGAACTGAGTCCTGAGTAATAGCATTTGTTTAGATAACTGGAATTAAGCAGGCTAATGCTGTGCATATTTTCTTCCACTTTCAGGACCTCTATTGCAATATCGGAAGTTGGTGGAGCAAGGAAGGCTTCAATGATCCTTACCAAGAAAGGGTTGCTTTGGCTTTGGAAAATTTGCTTGGGAGGTTGGAACAGTATGAAAAAGATATGGAGGAATATCATGTATATATGAATTCTAATCAACTGTCGTGCCATATATATTTCTTCTTATGGAATTTCCATGACATTTGTTTGTATGATCCTGTGTTTAAACTTTTTTCTATAGATTAAGCTAGCTGAGTGGGAGAAAAACAGGGAGAATGAGCATCGGAGGCTTTTGATGGAGGAAGCCGAGAAAAATCAGCGAGGGGACCTTTGGACATCAGTTAATAAGCGCAAGAGTAAACTTTTAGAAAGATGGGCATTCCGGTGAGGCATGCTAGTTTGGTTTTTGTTCAAAAACTACATGAAACATTTGGATAGAATTTCAATTCTGTTCATTTTCCGGTTCTTTTGGCATTAATGGAGTTTCGGTCAATTCAGGGGAAATATGAAGATATAGAACCCGGAGTTGGTAAGTGGGTTTCATACCTCAATCGTGAGAAGAAATTGGATTCACTTGTTGGTCGTCGTCCTACTGCTCCTCCAGCCCCGAAAGGACTATATATATATGGGAATGTTGGAATGGTATGTTGTCAAATTTCATCTACAGTAACTGTGAGGTTTTGTGAACCAATAATCAAACCAGTAAAAATTGGAAATTTGACATACCACTTTATCAGGTTCAATCTCCTTTGTATCCTTTTCCATAATTCTTCCAAGTTGAACAGACTGTTGTTAACTTCTAGGAAGACAATGCTCATGGATATGTTTTATAGTGCCACTGATGGAATAGTTAAACATAGACAAAGGTTCCATTTTCATGAGGTGAGCCTTTTATCGTTCTATTTATGTCTTGAGTAATCTCTGCTTGAATCTATAATATCCTATTTTATAATTGAATGCTTGCTGTTTCCGAAGGCACACAAAAGAGACTCTCTCTTCCTAAAATTAGGCTCTTTCTTGTGCAAATGATCACTATTTCTCATTATAATCATGTATTGGTAGGGAATGTTATTATGGTAACGAGTAGTCTGCACTTTTTGTTCTTTAACAAAAAAAAGCATGGAAGTTAGAATTGCTTTACACTTTGGCAGGCGATGCTCAAAATAAATGAAGCTATGCATAAGTTGTGGAAAAATCAAGTTGAGGAAAAGTCT